ACTGAATATAACTGATATATGGGCTATATGGGCCAATGGGTCAAAAGCCTGGTAGCCTAGATAAAATAGCTGGTTAATGCATTGTTATTCCCCCAGTCATATGGTAATAATAGGCTTTGAAACATTCCCACATAGCTCCGGGGTGGTACCCGGCGTTCTCAAAACCGATGGTTTTTTGAGGGTGCATGACAAGGGCATATATATATATATATACATATGCACATATATATGGGCTTGCCACAGCTTGTCTGAAAATTGGGGATACTCCCACTTATGGCCAACTTATGGCCATTTAATGGGAAAAATAATGATAATCCATTGGAATTGGCGATCCCTATTTTCAGGCAAAGCAATTTTTGTGAGTGGCAATGAAATCATTTCATATGATGAAATCCTCGCTTTCCATCAAGAAAAAATAAGATATCATATTTATAGAGTAGGTGGTGGTTTCATGTGTTTCTTTTGTAAACAAAAACAACTTCAGGCCTCTTTGGTCACCTTCCAGTAACCAGTAGATTTAGGTTAGATTGCTAGTGGTCTGAGCAACTCAAATGATGTAAAAATGGAGGAGTTGAAGTTGACCCCAGATTTGGGGCCAAATGTTCTACCATGACAGCCACGATAAAAATTGCAGGGTCGGTCTGCTGATTGCTCAATTCAAAACCGGCTCATTCCATGGAAGCATGTGGATAGTTTTTCAATCCCTATGGATCCAAACACTGTCTGAGAAGGTACTTAACCCTCCAAATTATAGTAAATTATACCTCCAATACTTCCTAAGAAGGCACTTGGATCCATAGGGAATGTGTTTTAGATTCTTTCAGCTTTACTTACTCCGAATTGGGTGAATCTCCTTGTATCCTTCTGCCTTTCTCCGCGCCGTGGAATTGCGACATTTCCTGGGCCCACATGGAATCGCTTGGTGGAATATTGTCAGCCCAGGAAAAAGGTATAGTCACTCAATATTTGCTTACGGGTTTTTGTATGGAAGAAGTCATATTTTGATGGTACAAAATAGTTGGTGTTCATCCCTTGATGAGTGTAAAAAGATATGGAGCCAGAACCATTTCAGGATCTGCTAGATATGGTGTACTTCTCTATGCTTATCACTATGATACTCCTAAAGTCGATGGGAAAGTTACGGAAACCTGGAAAATATGGAGGAATCGTCATCGCACAATCATTCTCGAAACACTTTTGTAATCGTGCACAAGTGAAGTTCCATGTTGACTCCATTTCTTGCATTCAATTCCTGCTGTGGCAATTGATTGTGCTCGATTCTGAGGACTCGACCAAACAGCGAAAAATGCTCAGTCTGTCAAATGTTTAACATCCACGTATTTATGAACTAGATACAGTAACCCTCAAAAAGATAGAAAGGCAGTTTACCACTATTTTAGTAGGATTTTTCTTTTCTATTTTTTTGTGGGCTGCTGCAGGCATGTGGGTCATCATATTTTTACTAGAAGCTAGGATGTTTGAACATTACACAGGACATTAAACAGGACCAGGACCAATTTTGTGGCCAGGAAAACCAGTTTTGAGCTATGGCCATTCACCCAGAACCAAGCGGACCCCTCCCCCGGAAACCAATCTTCGGGAAGGAATGCAGCCCTGAAACATATTGCTATGTCTTTATTCTCGTGTCTTGTAGAATATCCTTCCATATCCTTCCATATCCTTCCATATCCTTCCATGATGCATTGCATCCATGATACTGTGGATGGGCCAGCGAAATCCCCCTGGAATGGTAAATGGGCCCAGTCGAAAATCTGGGATGTAAAAACCACCGGATCCGTCAGGCGTCGCACGAATCGACCGGTGGGATCCACTGCAGAGTCTGCTCTGACTTCCTGGGTGCGGTTGCGGGGATTTTTGGGGAACGGCTTTCGTCGGACAAATTGCTGGTCTAACCACCCAGCAGAAATGGGAATTTCGCCGAAAATCCCACAAGGAACTTACGGATGTTGACAAGATTGAACTCAAGGTTTCGGCCACACAGCTTACTAAGAACGACTTAGCGTCGACTGGGAGTTGAAGACGTGTTATTTGACATTGCTTTTTTTAAACACACGAATCAACAAACGAGAACATCGGACCGCCTCTTCCATGTCTGATGGATAAACTGACGCATGTACTGTATAGTATTATATTGTACTACTATACAACATAGATTGACTTACTCAATTTTACGCATGTTATGCAGACTCTAAACGTCAAATTCAATATTTAAGGATCACACATGATCACACAATTAGTAACAATTATGTTCCCTTCTTCTTCTTTTTCTTCTTATTCTTTTTCTTCTTCTTCTCATCCAGCTGTATAGTATGTTTAACCTTGCGGCTGGGGAGCTTTGGAAACATCATTGCTGATGCTGACAATTCAGGGGGAAGGTATGGGAACATACTAACGGCCAATCAGAATTTGTTTGGAGTAGCCTTATACATTGGGTACATACCCTCCGGTAAACTAACATAACTATGGAAAATCACATTTTTTTATGGGTAATTCAACTATAAATGGCCATTTTCAATAGCTTTTTGTATGTTTACCAGAGGGTAATGACTTTGTGCAAATAAATATATGCATTTACATATTGACATATGCCTACAACTACATACCAAGTCCCATCTCTGCCCGGTGATCAGCTATCCGAATCTCAAGGGCCTCAGTTTCTTCCGGTGGAAGCCCATCCTTGTTGGTGAAATATGGTGACATCCCAGGATTTCTATAGTGCTTGTTGAACACAGACCAACAAACAAACTCAATTCCATTACAGGTTGGTGGTTTGGAACATTTGTTTATTTTCCATAATATATGGGATAATCCTTCCCAAGTGACTTTCATATTTTTCAAGATGTTTTTTAACCACCAAGCAGCAATAAATCAATTGACATCACCATTTCTCATGGTTGAATCACCTTAAACCAATCCATTGAACCATATTTAACCCATCAATTCCATTATTTTTGCCTGAAAATATGGTACCCAAAATCAATCCATCGCTGGTGAAATCTCCGCTCTTTTCTTCAAAAAAAATATCAAAGGCCAAAAAAACAATCCCAGTTTCGGATAATGTTTTAAAACTTCTAAAACACCTCGAAAAGAATCAGTTTCGGAGTCATTTCCTGGAACAAACTCACTCAACACCTCGAAACTCCTAGTCAAACACCTAGAATCGCTTTGAACTGCTTTAAACACCTAGATTTTCAGCGCTTGAAACATCTATAAAAATCTGGAAAATCCATGAAAATCCATGAAAATCCATGAAAATCCATGAAAATCCATGAAGATCCATGAAGATCCTGCAATTTCATCATTTCGCAGCGGGATTTTTTCGGCGCCATGGATGGTGAGCTGGTCCTACACCTTGGACTTGGCACGTCGCAGACATGGCGAACAGGTGCAGCAGTGAAGGGATGGATCGAACAGGGATTGAACCAGGGAATGGGTGAACCATGGGTGATTTCACCAGGGAAAATATGGGAAAATATGGGAAAATGAGGATTTGACATAACTAATTGAGTCTGATTGAGTCAGAAATGGTGAGTTTGCCAGCGAAAAAATAAGAGGAATTCTGCCATGATTTCACCATCAATGAGGAATTCATTGATTTTCACATAGTTTCAATGGACACCAATGGTGATGTGATGCTCAAAAGCGTGGACATAGGTTTGTCCAAACATAGCGTATTTACAAGCTGCACCAAGAAAAGGGGCTACAAAAACCAACATAAACCAACAATGTTGAGGCTATAGTGTTTATATATATATACATAATATATACACTGTGTAACTAACAACATGTTTTGGGTATGTTTCTCTTGTTTGTTTCAAAATGGGCCATATGGCAGATACATTATCATGACAAGTTTTTTTAATGGGTAAGTGCGGATAAGCCAATGTGGTGCAACCGCCGCAAAGTTATGTTGATGAAAGGAATGGAACTGGGCCAGCTGTAGCAACCTCTGCACCATGTCACTGTAAATAGTTGCTAGTGCTGTACAGGGAACCATTCCCAAAATATGAAGAAAGATCCATTAATTTCATGATTTATATTGATTGATCGCATGTTGAAGAACTCTGAAATAAAGTCACATATAGCTTTGGGAGCTACCACCACGAAACAATGCTTACCACAATACTGTAGTTGTTTTTTCTTCTACACCAAGAATATATATATATATATAGGGTTTATACCACCGCCATCTAGGTATAAGCATAGTTAATGTCATGATTTAAATATACATATATATATATATATGTATTATCAATTACTATCTTCAAATGAATCTATTATACATTGTCATATATTTACACATAATATATATATATATATACATGAATAACATAGATGTTACTGATCTACCGTATTGTTTGGCCGCTGCCTGGAACTCAAATGAGCCCTGTTTTGAAGGCTTTGACCCAGAGCACCGGGTCTCATCGCACCTGTTTAATCATAGCTAATATTTTTTCAAATTCCTCCAGCGTCAGCAGAAACCCATACATACATAATACATATGTATATATATATACAAATACATATAACTTGCGTATGTTTCATTTTCTTCCAATAGATAAATAGTAGGTGACTAGATAGGTAAATAACTAGGTTCAAATCTATATGTTTGATCATGTTGAAAAGTTTCCAAGAATTGGATGAAGGGGGGGTTTCATATTTGCGGTAAACACCGGCCAGTTTCCTGTGAAGATTTCCCTGAAATAAATCCATTGAATTGTAGGTGGTTGATGCCATCTACGGCTTCCAATTGTTGGGTTCATTTCAGTTTTCTATATTCACTTTCAAACCCAATGAAATCCAATAAAATACTACAGGATGGGCCCCCCCAGTTATAAGTTGGTTTATGACCCCATCTAAATATAGTTATAAGTATCATAGACTATTGTTATTATTATAGTTATGTTCACCAACTTAGCTAACGAACTGGGGCCGCATCACTCACCAATTTCCTCCCCGTTTCGGGCATCACCAAAAAGGCCAGCACCCAGAGTTGCGGTGCACTGGTGGCGGCCGAGGGAAAGGGACATGAAACTGGACCAAAATTCGAGCGCGGAACCGGGCTTATTCGTCGGTGTTCGATCTATGTTGGGTACAGATCTCATCATCAAAAAGGGAGGGATTAACTATGATCAACCAGCAAAAATGGGGGTTTTAACTAGCAACAATGGTGATTCAAGCATGACAATCTTGATGAAAACCCATGGTTTCACGAAGAAAATGGTAGGGCAAATCTCTAAACCACCTGGATGGATGGAACATATGCTGACTGCTGGCTCCGTACATCAGCATGATGGCCAGAAAGGGAACTTCCACCAAAGTCATCTGAATATTTCAGGTTGGCGAGTTGGTATGCTGACGTTATTTGGTTCTTGGTTCATCATTGAAATCTTAAGGTTCGATGGTTCACACTTTCCATAATTTTCCCAAAATCATAAAAACATATTATTTTGACTTGGGGCTACAGTTCCACCATGATTATACAATATTGGAACCCCCAAACGATAGCTATGTTGATTAATCAATTGCTTAAATAGTTTTGATTAGGAGCAGATAATAACATATAATAGAACAATATCACATGTAATAACTATATAGTTACAAGGTGGTGCCCCCCCAGTTATAAAATGTTATAAATTGGTTTATAATCCCGCTAACTATGGATATATCACCTATAAACCATAGTTATTGGAGTTATAAACCAACTTAGCTATCTAGGGGGCCCCACACTGTAGTGGGATTTATAAAGCAACATGGCCAGGGTCCAGGCTTTTCCCCAGCACTGGACATCCAAGGAGTGGCAGAAAGCCTTGCGGCATTTTTGGATCGCAAGGCGAAACCCGCGCGCTCCGCTCCGCCCGAGTCGATGATGTGGTGAAGTTATGGTTGATTTTAACATGTACCCTCTGGTAAACATACAAAAAGCTATTGAAAATGGCCATTTATAGTGGATTTTCCCATTAAAAATGGTGATTTTCCATAGCTATATTAAATTACCAGAGGGTAACTATGGGGATATTTTAATGGATATGAATGGATATTACCCTCTGGTATCGGAAAACGTAGAATTGATCGACCACGAGAAAATTGGGTGTATAGATCGAATGAAGACATACATTGCAGATTCAGCCACGCTGAATATGATGGAGACCCTACCCAAAATGTTGCCATTTTGAGCGCGGCGCAAAAGCCAAGCGCCCAAGCATCTCTCTTTAGTGCTGATGACCTCGGCACGGGATGCATGGCAAAAAAAACTGTTAGAGTTTGGGAACTGGAAAATCACCATCTTTAAGTTCGGTAAATCAACTATTTCTATGGGCCATTTTCAATATCTATGTTAAATTACCAGAGGGTATAAGACACTATACGTAAGTTCACTTATGGTTGATTTGATATGGTTGATTTATGGTGTTCTGGTTGATTTTGATGTGCAAGTTGGCTTTATAGGTTGACTGACTGGGTTTAAACATCAGCAAAGGCAGGCAGTTTGCCAGCAGAAAATTGGGAATTCAGTTCATTTTCCCAGCAAAAAAAAGCAAATCAACGAGCAAATATGTGGACTTTACTACCGATATCATGGGGGCTGCTGGTCTCACAGCATGTGTTTATATTTATGCCCCATTATCAGCAGCATAGGCTCCCATGATTTATAGTGATAGTGGATTGGTCGCCCTTCGGGAAGCCTCCACAAACTGATCGGTGGTCAGCGATCCCGCAATTGAATTTCCATTGTCATAATTGCCGTTCTGGGTAGATTCTAGATGATGGCTGGCCTAAAAGTTATTGAACAGTTGAAGTTGAAGTCATTGAAAACCATTCGACCTGGCGCTGTCGATGATCTACCTCTTTGAAGTAACGGCATTCCAGTCGCAATGTTATTTGATTAACCCCATCTATCTTTCGATGTACTATCCATCATAAACCCCACTAAAAGTTGTAGACCAACTTACCTATCTTTGAGGGCCCCTTCCTGTTGTCGTCTACCCCAATAATATGCTAAACTATCCCCGGTAAGGAGTAGAAACTAACAACGACGTCACCGCGAGAACTGGCTTACTGCACCTTCCTGATTTGATGAATCCCATCCGGGATTAAGTTAGAGTAACGTTTGCCCAGACGCACGGCAAAAGTTGGCGAACATGGTTCAAACAGACGATATTTGGAATCAAAAAAAAACACGGTCTCCTATAGGGTTTCCCTTTACCCTTTAGCAACAAAAACGTGGCTAGCTGGAACATGTTATCATTTATGAAATTGTTTTTTCATTATTTTATTAAAACAAAATGGGGGATCCCCAAGTCACCATGGCTATCAATACTAAGTCATGGTCATCCATGACTTGGATGATTTAGGATACCCCTATGACTTTGGAAGCCTTCATATATATATATATATAATATACAATAATAATGATAATATATATATTCTACACTGTATGTAGCATGTTTGATTCCCTGGCGCAGGAAACACGGTCCCGAGCCCAACATCTTATTGGTCAACGCTGCGGCCTCCCGGCTTCGAAGCTCCCCCGCCTGGGCAGCTTGGGCTCCGGGGAAAATGGAGGTTTACCCTGCCAGGAATACTGGACTTGTTCAAACGTTGGGTATGAAATCCTTGGCTCTTTGGACCCCACTTGGTGGCTCATCCGACTTAGTAAGTGGGTTATAACCCCAGTTATAAATGGATTAACCCATTTATAACTGGGGTTATAACCCACTTACTAAGTGGGATGAGCCACCAAGTTGGCTCTTTGGACCCCAACAAACGGTTCTTCCCAGTACCTAGGAGCCTGTATCCCAATGAATCAGTGCGATCTGCAACCAACGATATGAACATTTGCTTTTGTGAATCGGGATGCCTCTTACACGATCAACCATAAAAACTTTGGGGTACTCCATGTTCAGAAAACAACAAGAAAATATGGAGGTTTCCTAAAATGGTGGTACCCCAAAATGGATTGTTTATACTAGGAAATCCTAATTACTAAAATGGATGATTTGGGGGTACCCCTATTTTCGGAAACCACCATATATTTCGGCCCTATTGGTGTGCAGGTTGTGCCCTGTTTTACTCGTGGTTTTGATGGTAGAAAGTTGGTCGGGAAATCTTGGCAGTGACCCAAGGCCCCAAGGCTCTCAGACCTTGATCGGAGTACTTGTGATACCCTCTGGTTATGTCAAAGTAGCTATGGAAAATGGCCATAGAAATAGCTTATTTACCCGTTAAAAATGGTGGTTTTCCATGGTTTTGTGTATGTTTACCAGAGGGTATGTTTACTGTGGAACGATACCCTTTACAAAAAAAAACAAACACAACCTCTTGTAGGGTATGATCATCGTTCTGCGTATTCTATGTGTCCCTTTTGGGAAGACGTTCCCCAAGAGCCAGATATGTCCCTTTTGTTTGCTGTTCACACACCCGTTCTTGCTAGTTTAATGTTTGGCTACCTGTTTAATTATATGGTCAGTGGCTGAGTTGTAACACCTTCCAATAGGGATAGAATACGATGGGACAAAGACCATTTAATTTACCAACGGTTTGAATATGTTTGAATTGTTTGATGGGGCAACCTGGAGGAAAATCCTATCTTTGCATGCAAGTTAATTCAATTTTACATATTCAACAGCGGATTCGTTTTCATACATCCATTGGGAATTGGACTTACAAAACCAAGTGGGACCTAATGACCAGGGGCCCCAAGTTGCATAGACTGGGGTGTAAATATCGACCATTTCTGGACAAATCAAAAGTTCAAGTAATACATATTGTTGGTTTTGTAAAAAAAACGGGAGACTCAATATATATATATATATGTATATTATACTTATATACACATAGATATACTTATATATATAGGGGTATGATGATTTTGTACAAAAATATATATATATATATACAGTATATATATAGATAGATAATTCTAAATGTGACATTATTTGGGCATTGTAGTTCTTAGGAAGTACCAGTTTTGTTGCTGAAATCGACCATCCTCCCAGCTCAACGCGCTGCGGCGGCACCGCCACGGCTGGCACCACGGCACCGCGCTGCTGGGCTGGGCAGGGCACAATGGGCTGCAGCGGAACGAGGTACGGCGGGAGGGACGGTGGGTTTGAGCATTGAAGACATGGGTAAATATAAATATATATATATATTCAATATATGTTAATATTGTTAAATATAGTTAATATATGTTAATATAGTGAAACTATATAATATACATATATGTTTCTGTAATATTTATTGTTGAAATGTATAGCCCTATGGATCCAAACACTTCCTGAGAAGGTACTTAACCCCCTAAATCAACCCCCCAAACTTGGATCCATAGGGTAGTTAATACATAAAACTATTTATATATGTATTAACCAATATAGTTAATCATATAATATATAGTTGATATAGGTTAATATAGTTAGTATAGTGAAACTATATAATATTGGAGGTTTCCTCAAATGGGGGTACCCCAACTTATGGATGGTTGATTTCATGGAAAATCCAAAAATAAAATGGATGATTTTGGGGTACCCTATGTTAGGAAACCTCCACATGGATAATTTGGGAGATGTCACCGGGTTTTTAATGAGAAGAATGGATGTTTCACCAGCAAAGTTTGCGTGGATGAAATTGTTGAGATGGTGAATGGTGAAATTTGGTCATGTCCTTCAATTGGTCGTTCATCCGTCTTGGATTTGGTTAGTGGGTGGCATCTCAGAGTAACATCATCACAGTGAGAGTTAAATTTCCAGGACCATACTGTACATCATGTGACGATGTCGATATAGTCCATGGGTCACACACTTCTGCGTAGCAAAACTCAAATAAGCGGGAGTACGACATAAGCAGATAAGCACAACACACATTGCACTGGGAAAATGTTTGATAGCAGCAGCCTCATTGTCCCAACAAACCAAATATTTGAGTTTATACGTCCAACTTCGGAATTATTGTAGTGTGGTCAAAACAATGTCATAAACCACCCATTTGGGAATGGTAAACATACCGCCTATAAATATAGTGGATTTTGGGATGGTTTATGAATTTGTTTTACCCACATTAGTGGGATATTTCACACACAGCATGTTTAATATTGTTTAATGGGGATTATGATAACATATAGGAAGACATATGAAGCTATATCATATATATATAGGAATTGCTGCACTATGATTTGCAAAGAGATAACAAGTAGGGAAATACACTTGAGTAGGCTTCAAGACCAAGATCCTGGGGGTTTCCATCATGGGGATCCCCCAATAGCTGGTTAGGGGTACCCCCATGCCAGGAAACCTCCATATTGGGGATATTCTCACCATGAACGGGGAAACCCTATATGACTCCGTAGAATGAAATGAGTCACAGCGGAAAACACATCCGCCCAATCGGCTGGTGCAGCTGACTAAAAATTGAGCTTAATCCTGTAATAACGAGACCAACTGACAAAGGATGCGTGTGTTTGCATTGGAACTAAAATCACCTGAAACCCCAACTGCCAATATTTCCGATCCTATAAACCTATACACCATTTTTTGGTATGAACATGGATTTGTTTGAGCGACAGTTGACAGAAATCCGTGGATCTTGATGTCAGCCAATGTTCTTCACTCCCCAAAAAATAATCTTTGCTGCAATGTGGTCAGGCTAATTCTAATCCAAACCCTGCCCATTCCGAATAGTTGTTTCAACTTCTGCTTTTTTGATCAAACATTGAGATCCAAAGTCTTATGGTGTCAGATGCTTTCAGACTATTGGCAATAATAAACTCCTTTTTGGGGGACTCTTTCAAATAGCCCCCAAAGTAAGTGTACAGTTTACTCTTGGGTTTGCCTCATGAACCCCTTCCGCAACATTTACCAAACCACCTGGAGCACCAAAATACATCGATCCAATACTAAACAATGGTCTCTATAGGGATCTCTAGGCGGGTATTTAGTAGTAATTATGTAGGGAGAAGTTATATAATGTGTTATATATAATATGAATGCATGTGAATTAATAGTATGAATTTATAATATGAATTAAACTGAATTTCTCCAGGTATCTCTTTCCCTTTCATTATTTGGGATGCGCTTTTTGTTTCAGCACCAGCATGTTGACGTGACGAGGTCTCCATTGGAGCCGTCTCCAGCGCCCTGCCTTTCTGGCAAAACTCCTTGGACACTCAGCTGGGTGGACGAAATGAGGGCTTCTTCAAATGGATGTTACCCCGATAGTTTATATGGAAAATCATGGAAAATCATGAAAACGGAGGTTTATGATGGAACATTCTACTAAAATGGCGGTTTATAATGGAAAATCCTATTGAAATGGATGATTTAGGGAGTACTTCCATTGAAGGAAACCTCCACATGGCCATGGACAACGGCTATTTGCCTATCAAGGGTTGTGATTTATGGCCATCTAGTTCAATGTTTTACCGATGAAAAATTGTGATTTTCCATGTTCGATGGTCTACCGTTTCTAAGAATGGTGATGTTCCACAGTTACGTGAGTTTACTGGATGGCATTTTGCCCAAATCCAGAAGTGAATGAACGAAACATGTAATAAACAACAGCAACGTACTTCATAAGCAGACAATAAACTGTAGTATCAAAAAAAATGTCGTGATGTTTTTTTTCAAAATCGATTTGAACAACAGTATAACAGTGATGAACAATGTGAGAAGTCAAACAGCAACAACAACAACAACAACCAGAAGAACTATCCAACATGGTGATTTGATCAACAAATTCGGAAAGTGAATCAACAACGTAAGAAGGTAATCAACCCAATTCTAGGGAACATGGAAGCTTTAGCAACAATGTGCGGTTGAAACCATGCAGCAGACAGCGAAGATCAGGATAAAATGCAACCAACGTGGGCATGGCATGGCTATCAGATCCTGTCCAGGAAATCTCTTGTAACACAGGGATGATCACCGCAACATGAGTATTGTTGGTTGAGTTGGCTTGTATCTCCCATCATTTTCCCTTCCATATGATTCCCCTGATATTTCCATTATTGAATGAGAATATATCATAACAAAACAACAATGAATAACATGTGTGACTTATTCCCACGATTACTATATATTATTATACAGCCCATTATTGTCCACTATTTTCCGACTATATTCCCATAATTTTCCATTATAACAGTTGGTGAATAAAGATACAACATACATTCGATTATTGTTCAAAAACAATACACATACATATCATATATTGGTTTATTCTATATATAATATGTTTTTAAACATTACATAAACATTATAACATTATCTGGTTGGTGGCTTGGAACATGAATTTGATTTTTCCGTATATTGGGAATTGGGAATGTCATCATTCCAACTGACGAAGTCCATCATTTTTCCGAGGGGTAGGTATACCACCAACCAGTTGTATTCCCAAGAATTCCTGATGAATCACTAATCCGATCAACATTTCTATAACGACGCCACAGGATTGGCTCATCTTTGCGACGACCAATGAGGTGGTGCTCGGACAAAGTGCCGACTCGATGTCGAAGGTGCACCTACTGGTTCCAGCGATGATGAGAATCATAAGTAGCTTATATAATGTTATATATATACTGTATCCATATATATATAATGTAAAATAATATCATATAATATAATATAATATAGTATAATATAATACAATATAATATAATATAATAGTATAATATAATATAATACAATATAATATAATATAATATCTATATAATACATGCTGTATATATAATACATGTTATATATATAGTACATGATATATATATAATACATGGTATATATATAATACATGATAGGTATACATATAATACATTATACATATAATACATGACATATATATATATATATATATCCCTGGTTTTGTCGGTGGATCAGTAGGCTTAATCTAGTTGTAACATGTTGTAACTAGGGTTTAAAGCTACTTACGATCCGTGGGATGAGCCACTAAGTAGGATATTGTGGGAAATTACGAGGCAAGAAAGAAAATCAATGGCATTTGGTACGTGGTTATATACTTAAAGGGTTCATTTGCACCCGGATCAATTTTGTGCGAGTGTATACTGTAGATTGTATGTATTTGTTCCTGTAGTTTATAAGGGGACAATTACAAACCTAGTTGGTGGTTTGGAACATTTTTCCCATATATTGGGAATAATCATCCCAAGTGACTTTCATATTTTTTTCAGAGGGGTAGGTATACCATCAACCAGATTATCATCATTATCAACCATATATTAACAGTATAACCATATATTAACAGTATATTACCAACCTTTGTAACCCACTGGGGTAAACAGCTGAGACAGGCTTTGCAATGGGAAGAATCTTTGCGTCTGGAGCAATGGCACAGATGTCAAGGCGCTGTGGAAAATCCACCAGAAATTCATGGCGAATTTGCCCCCATTGGCACAGAAAGAGTAAGGGACACCCAGTTCTACGTTTGTTATCGTTTGTTCATAAACCCATGTCGTTCTATCTATATATATGTATCTATATCTATTTGTACACGTATTTGTAACCCTCAGTTAACCAAGTTATAAACCAACAGAAAGCTACCGTTTTGGAGGCCGTCCCTATAGGCTTCCATTCCGTGGTGGTGCTCAGTTGCGCTGCAGACGCGTGTCGTCGTCAGTCCTACTGGGCAAGTGCGTTGCAGATGTTGCTACCGGTTCCTTGGTGATGGCTATACAGCCGCCACAAAAGGTGGGAGAAAACCAGAAGACATGGAAAAATGCTGGGGATTTAAGCCAGCATGGCATGGAACACTCAAACAGGAAGTTGTTGTGAACAAATTGCTGATGTGTCATGCAAGATAGATATTTGGCCCCAAAAAAAGAAGATTTCACCAAGAAAACAATGTGAATGAAACGGATAAAAGATGATACAATTGTATACAATTTAGGTTCCTGGTAGCTGAATTTCAGCTATGTTTATATATGTTTTATATGTTTTATATGATCAGATTTCACTGGTGCAAGACACGAAACATGTCGAAACACCGGCGCCGGCGCCCAGTTGTGGAATTGGATGGTTTATCATCAGAATTGCGGTGGAAAAAACCCATGGTTTTACTGTCATTTGTTCAACAAACCCAGTGACCAACTCACAAACTCACTGGGTTTTTCCCAGAAAAGTCCGCTCTATACATTGTGTTCCCATGTTTTCCCATAAAACATGGTGATTTCTCGTAGTGAATCAAATGAAAATTCCGGGGCTCAGCCACAATCTAATGATGTTTTGTCCCAAGCTACCCTGATGTGGTTGATCATCATGCTCTCCTTCTCAAAATAACAATAAATTGGAGTTGCTCCACATTTTCAGATGAGATTTTCATAGATGCTCTATCTATATCTATCTGTACTATATTCTTATTCAATCAGATGGGTAAACCAGTCCAACCCAATCCAACCATTCATGTTTTCCAATCTTCGGATAGATGAAATGGACTAAAACGGATTAAAAATGGATGAACATAGCCGTCAATTGGATCTTTTTCCAATGTTTTCCAGCCATTTTCAGATGAATTTCTCAGCTTTTGAGGTCCTCGAAGACCGCCAAAGTGCCGACGCCGTGTGCTTCGGCAGCGCGCTGGCGGCCTGCGGGGTGGGCGAGAAGTGGCAGGAAGCGCAGGCGTGGGAGGAATTTTATCCGGGATATATGTATATATATACTATGATATGATATGCTATGATACCTATTTCAAAGGGGATATTAATATTTCAAAGGGATTATACCTATGATATGATATATGCTATTTTCATGATATAGCATAATGTTATATAATGACCATGATTAATAGACAGGGGAAATAAACATAAATATTTCATGCATAAAATAAAACCATTCTATAACGACATAAGATGAGGATGTATATAATTTACATATATTACATTAAACAGGATGTGTGTCTCATAGGGATGTATAATACTATATATATAAATAAGTCTATAACTTTAACAACATGCTAAATTTGGGTGTTGTTGAATGCTACTGTATTTGGTTTGTTTTCATAAATGGGGGATCCCCAAAATGATTTGTTTATGATGGAGAATCCTATTAAGATGGATTTGGGGGTCCCCCCATTTCAAGAAACATCCATTTGGGTGATTTGGGTGTGATTGAAAATCGGCTATATTCAATATTCATGTACTATACTCATACAATTGCCACTGCGCAAAGTGATAAAAAAACATGAATTCTTCGGGTACCCCATTTTCAGTGGAACATCCACCAGTGAATCTATTGCGAATATGTTTTACCCCTCAAGCAAATCTAAGGATTTGCTTAAGGCTTAGCTGAATTTTCTTGTGATTTCACAACGAATATTAAAAAAAATATGGTTTGACATGTTAAACCACCATCAAGTCACCAGTTTTGCTGCTTCAATCACCATTCCATCACCATTTTTATTGGTTAACCTAGAAAATCACCATTTCTGTTGGTTAAATCATAATTTTTGTTGGTTAAATCGCCATTTTTGCTGGTTAAATCGCCATTTTCCCATGGTTTTCCCATGGTTTTCCTCTTGGCACCACCGGATCATCCCACCGCCAGACCTTCCTCCGCCGCTGCGGCGCTTGGCGGCTCCGCAGCGACGCGGAACAGGCCCTACGGCGGCCGCGGCGGCGGCCTCCACGGCAGCGGGTCTGCTGGAAGATGTGTGGCTTGGTTGGGAAATCATATATATATATATATGTATGTATAAGGATGGATGGATGGATAGATAGATAGATAGGTATAATTAGATAGATATGTATAATTAGATAGATAGGTATAATTAGATAGATAGGTATAATTAGATAGATAGATAGATAGATAGATAGGTATAATTAGATAGATAGATAGGTATAATTAGATAGATAGGTATAATTAGATAGATAGATAGATAGATAGATAGTTAGATAGATAGATAGTTAGATAGATAGATAGATAGATAGGTAAAATTAGATAGATAGATAGATAAATAGATCGATAGATAGATAGATAGATGGAGAGATGGATGGATGGATGGATAGATAGATAGACAGATAGGTAGATAGATAGATAAATAGATAGATAATAGTATATCTAATAATATATTTAATAATATAGTTGGTAATATAGTTTGTAATATAATTAATACTATAGTTAATAATATAGTTAATCATATAGTTCATCACTTAGTTAATCATATAGTTGATATAGTTAACATAGTGAAACAAAGTGAAACTATATATAATACTTATAGTTACAATAGTTATTGTACATATATATATTAATATACAGTGATGATATAGTTTCAATCAGTGTCACTATACAGTTGCTACTATGTTGATGTAGTGTGATTATAGAGTTGTAGCTATTTTGTGTGATTATGTGTGATGATATAGTTGTTTATATTTTCTAGTTGCTTGGGAATTGAGGCAAGTAGAATGATGAATGTTTTTTATTTAATTCCCAATAAAATGCAATGAGTTATAGTAGTATCATGTGATTATATAATGTGGTACCCCCATGCAAGAATTATTCCGATTAACCAACCAACTTTTAGTTTGAGTGTGATAGTTATATGTTCTTAACAATTCGTTACAAGCGTACTTTTACTTCCCAGCTGGCTGGGAGAATATCCCATTCTCATTCCCATTGAAACATGATTTTTGAATCCCACAGGGGGTTCAATATCAATTAGCAGAATGCGTAATGTCCTGGAAAAAGGGATAATGTCAACCCTGGATTAATAAACCCATAGGCTTAATTGGGGGGATACCATTTAAGTATTGGATTATGATTATTGGAGGAGTACCCCCCTAATTAATAAACCATACTTTATTAATCTGGGGTTGACATTAGACAAGTTGGTTTATAATTTAGTTTGTACCTTATACATACGTAGGATTTATGGTAGATATATAATATGTGGATTTATGGTAGATATATGTGGATATGTATTGATAATTAATGTGTAACCAGCATGGAGGACCTAAAGTATCAAAATGGGACTCAACCGGCATTGCTTAAAACCATGATGAACAATTTCATCAAACTGGCCAACCTCAGAACAAAAAATGAGACAACTGGATACATCAACAGTTAAAGGTGGGGCCTCCCAGTTGTTTTTGTTGGTTTATAAACCCCATTCCCCCAGCCATCACCATTTTTATAGGTGTACCATGTTTACCACTCCCAGTCATGGGTGGTAAAAATGGCATTGTTTTACCCCCCATTGCCACAAGCCCTACCTATAAAGGATTTATGTTCACCTAGGGGTTGACGTCACCGAGGCGACAGAGGGCCGTGCAGCCCACTGAGACGTTGCTCAACATCCTTGCGACCGCCATTGCTTGGGATGCAGTGGCTTTGACAAGATCAGTCAAACGCGAACACAACGGGGAACAATGGCTACCCCGCTGGTAGTTCAACATAGCCATAGAAAGGTACTGTTCAATTTTGGTAGTTCAACATGACTTTGGTAGTTTTACATGTTACTATGGTTTACTTCTTTAAAGTTGTGATTTTACATAGTTCTGTTAAATTGCCAGAGGGTACCCTCCGTTATAATCCAACAGGGCCATTGGACCTTCCCCATGAATGGGGGGAAAATCATGGAACTCAATGGTGAATTTTCAGTCAGGCCATGTTTGATTACCAGAGGGTTAGTTGGTTTTAATGTTTTTCCACTATATCCACAAGTTAGAAAAGGTTCAATTTATGTACCATTGTTCTGGTAGGATTTTACTAAATGCCAACTCTCTTTGGGTGGTTCCTATAGGTTAACGTCTGGGTTTATGACAGGGATATTGAACTAGTTGATGGGCTGTATATATATATATAATTATATCAACAAACGGAACTGGACAGGGCATCGCCTATGGATTCTGGGAAGGATCTGGAGGAAAGCTCTATATTTGGATAGCAGAAACACTTTGTTTTCCATATAAAATTAAGCTTCAACCACCCCACTGACTAACATGCTGACGTAGCGTCTTGTAAGCATTGACAGTGGTGATTTTCCAGGATTTTCCTTCCAGTGTGTCAGATCGCCACAGCTAGAACCACCAGGCAATGGAGTCAATGCCTGTGCCAGATCTTGGGGCATGCGTCCTTTCTGATATTGGTTAAATTCCTACGTTTGATGGTGAGATCTCCATAGATTGCAAGGTTCACTCCGGATTTTTTGGACATCCAAACCCTCACGCCCCTAGAAACCGGTTTACATCAACCCAGATATCACATGCGTGCTCATATATCCGACCATTGCCCATATATGTCATGACTGTCATATGTCCATTGTTGTTGTTCTCATAGCCTCATTTTTTTTCAGGTGTTACTGTTGATTCTCCTAAATCCGTATGTTGGCTGGTAGGTAAACAATGGAGGAAATCAGGAGCTGGCTGTCAAGGGAAACAATGGAGGATCCCCCAAAAAAGCCAAACATATTCAGGCTGATGAAGATGTTTCATGATTCACCCAGAAAAAAAAAATCGACATAGACATGGGATGACAGTCGGGTTGGTTTGAAAGACATGGGTCACTCATTCCACCCAATGGTTGATCATCATGTTCATTCATATTCCCATCAAATTAACATGTATAATCAATGGTGAATTGTCATAGTCATTTGGTTTGTAGAGTCCTTTGACTACAGATACACCTACCATAAAGTCCAGTGAAATGTAAACCAACTTAGCCAGCATTAATCAAAACTGTCAATCCCCACCCAACTAACGGTACTTTTTTTTGTCCATAAACCATGCTTTGGCTGGCCAAATCCCAAAACATCACAATTTTTGTTGCCAAAATTCCAGTATATCACCATTTTTCATGGGTAAACCCTCCTGTATGAAACCACTAATTAGTAAATCCACATAAAATCACCATTGATCCCCAATTCTAATGGTTAAATCTCTTATTGTTGATGGATCAAAAACCAATGAAAACCTTCATTTTTTGTTGGTTAGATCGCTTGATAATCACCGAGGCTCTCCACCTCTTAGCCGGCCACCACTGGCACCTTCGATGCGATGTCGTGTCGAGCAATGTGCTCAGCAAAGCATGTGCACAGGCGCCCGGTTTCAGGGGATTTTTCACAAACCATGGATTCCGCCGGAAAAAATCATCAACAAAGAATGGATCTTCACTATAGTTGTTAATAACCTTTATAGCACTATAGCTGTGGAATGGCTTCATCGGAACAAATATATGTGATTTGATTTAATGATGAAGCATGGGGATTTAAGATGATTTAACCTGATTGAAGCATCAGAAACGGATTGTGATAGCTGATTGATGATAGCTAAGTTGGCTTACAACTCATATGTGACTAGGATTTATAGATATCTATTCAAGGAGATGGTGCACAGCTTTTGGTGATTTTTGTACCATGGGATGGTTTTGTAACCCCAGAAGTTGGGATAGTAGCCCTTTAACTTTGGTCCAGCGTTCCAACCCCCCCCCTCGGCCATGGTCATGGGTCAGCCATAGTACTGTCCCCCCCTGTGGTATGGTGGGGGTGAGGTACTGCGTATATATATATATATATTATATTATATATATGAGACAGAGGGCATCCCACGACTAAATTCAACATCCCACGACTGAGTCAAACATCCCACGACTAATTGCTAGGTTTCCAGATGCACGACTAAAAAAACAAAAAGGCCAACAATCTCCTTTTTGGACCGTCTGCGGGCCGGATCCTCCAAAAAGGCTTCCGGCAGCCTCTAAATGGACCGGGTTCTCCTAGTCAAGCCTCTGGGCTCCTTTTTGGAGAAAAAGGCTTCCGGCAGCCTCGAACTGGACCGGGTTCTCCTAGTCAAGCCTCTGGGCTCCTTTTTGGACCGTCTGCGGCCCGGATCCTCCAAAAAGGATTCCGGCAGCCTCTAACTGGATCGGGTTTTCCTACTTACGTATATATATATATATATGTATGTATGTATGTATGTATGTATGTATGTATGTATGTAGTAAATAGGAAGTAGGTACATTGCACATGTATATTTGACTATTACGTAGGTCGTCTAAAGGTGGCATTTACCTCGTAAATGTGAGGCTGGTAGTCAGAAATGCTGCAAAGGCCTAGCAAATACGAGGCTGGACCTCAGAAATGCTGCCAATAGCTTGCAAATAGAAGGGAAGGGGGTGCTACCTGGCGACCCATACCATTGGGGGGTAGGAACACGGAACACGAGACCATATATACGTACATAACAACCACTGTTTTTTTTCCAACCTAGCGAAAGAACACGGACTTTTTGGTCCGGTCTTGCATCCGTATGTGGAAAAGTATACCTACTCAGCTGGTGGAAAATCAAAAGAAGGTGTAAGCTTCAAGTGCTTCTTGGTTGGCTCAGATCCGAGCCACTATATGCCAGCTATCGCCCGTGGAAAGCATGCCTACGATGCAGAGAAAAAGTTCCAAGACAAAAGCATCTGGAAAATGACAAAAGCAGTTTTCGACAGCAAGATGAACTCTTCATACATCAGTGGCACCATCAAGTTTTGCATCAACCTGGTCAGCACAAACTGGCAGAATCTTGATGCTGTGGATGGAGCAGCGTCATGCGCAACATACATCAAGCCAGCATACAGTGTGGCAGACAGCGTGCAAATTCATTCCTAACCTCAAGAACGGGTTGGCATTCAAGTCTCAATAAAAGGACCAATGATGACCAATGTTTATTTGTATGACCTGAACATTCTTAGTTACCACGGTCTTCACCGATTTCCAAGTGAAAGCAGAAGAAGATATCTTCCAAGTGCATTTTGGGTGAGTTCCAGTTATGGTCGGTTCTGCTCTCAAACTATGATGTCTAGTAACTAGTGCACACACAGAAAACCACTGAAAACCCAATTTAAATATGGCAACATTCAATTGATATGTCTACGGGCATGATGTCTGAATGGTATTTTTTTACCTTCATCATCTTCCTTTAAGGATCCCAGTCGTGTTTATTTTCAGGTAGATTGCTCATCTATAGTTATAATTGAGGTAAACTGAAGCTACAAGTGCATAATCATGGTTGGTAAGTCCCCGATTTGTTAGTTATCCCAGTTGTACAAATGGTTCATATGGTGATGATCCAGTTTGGAGTCGTTGCAATAGTTCAAACACAATTGTTTTTTTAACCATATATTTGCATATTAACCATCATTATTATTACCATCTATTACTATTATTATACCATCATATCATCATCACTGTTCAATCTAGGAATGTGGGTATCTAGTTCTACATGATACAATTCCTCGTCATAATAAAAATATTTTACCATCATATCATTATTATGCCATCATATCATCATACAATTCCTCATCATAATAATAGATTGCCATTATTATTGTGGCAAGGTTCAATCACAATTCTTCCAACCAGCAATGATTATCATTATTAATAATAACCATATAATAACCACATATATATATATATATATTAACCATATATATATATATATCATATTTAACATGATATATATATATATATATCATATTTAACATGATATATATATATATATATCATGTTAAACCCTATATATTAACCATATATCAACCGTATTCTTCCACAGGAGCAGCAGTGGCAATTGGCTGCCCAGCGCCTGCGTGACATGAGGCACCAAGGCCTCCGAGGGGACGCTCGCGGTAACGGCGGGAGGTCCCGCTACGGTGATTGGCTGGAGATCAAAACGGGGGCCGTTGCGAAACCATGAGAAAACCATGAGAAAACCTTGGGAAAACCATGGGAAAATGGTGATTTAACATGATTTAACCAAGAAAAATGATGATTTTCAAGGGTTTAGCAAAGAAACATGGTGATTTACAGTAATGTGATTTATGCAAGAAAGATGGGGTTTTACTGGGATTTATAGTTGATTTATGGTTGGCAAACCGGTTTTCTATGGAATATCATCATCAAAAATTGGGATTTCCACGAAAATCGTGGTATAAGGGATATTAGGGATATCATTGGCATATAATGTAGATATGTATCAGTAACCCAACTACAAGGTGGTGCCCCAGTGAACATTAACTGATTTGGTTTAAATTCACTAGGTTTATTAATATGGTTTATCGGATATTTATACATATTATATTTACACGCATATTATATATATATTATTGTATCATATTATAATATATATATATATACATTATATATATATATTTGGATGTGTCTAAAACCAGACTATAACTAAGGGGCACAGATTAAGAACCAGACAACGATGAGGGTGTCCGGCACACAAAAACATACACAACAAAATCATCACGAAAAGTACACACATTTCACACGTACATCCCAAATATTTCCATGATTTTCTATGTGTTTCTGCGTGAATCGAGTCCTATGAAACCTCCCCCAACGGTCGCCAAGGATTTGGTCAGCGACAATGCCGCAATGTCTGCCTTTGGGTATGGCCTGCGATGGCCAATGGTCCTTCTCCAGTTGCTTGACTAAACAGGGTCAACCCCATTCCCCGTATGGTCCTGAAAACAACAAGGCATTGCCATTCAGTAAGGAGTTCTCAACTCAATGCACCCCTTATTAGGAGTGTCTTAAATTCGTGTTTTTTTACATTGTGAGTATAAGTCGTTTCCCCATTCAAAAGCTGCATAAACCTAGGGGAAACCTTCCATTGCCAAGGTTGGCTGATGATTCATCCTGGACTTCCAATGAACGTCATTCAGGACCGGTTGGGGCTAGCTTTATACGGTGGTAGCAGGGGCAAACCAAACATCAAAGCACTTAACGGTAATTCAACGTAGTTAGTAATTATTAGCTATGGAAAGTCACCATGTTTACTACGTTACAGGTAAATTCATACATAAATGGAGGAATTCTATATATACAGCTGTATTATGCTGCATTCAATTACGAGATTCCGAGATTTTCATTTTCAAAAGTATCGCATTTTGTTTGGTTGAACAGTTTGCAAGATGTATTCCGAAGAATCCTCCACATGTTTTTGCTAAGACCACTAATTTTAGATATGTTCACTTCAGGCACTAAACAAGGATAATAAGTATCGTATAAGTTACTATTATCCTACTAATATCTTGTATATTTTTTATTTTTTAATTTATTGTGTGTTCAGTTCCACTTAAATGTTATTTGTACTTAGTACATTATATTGAGGATAAAATCAAATATAGATGAATATTATTCGAAATTATTTGAATATATCCGAAAATATTTGGGAATAAGTTCAACGAATTTTTTCACTTTGTTTTTTTCCGACTTTGACGCTTATGCGTACTGGCGAGCTGATGAGTGAGCCAGTTGGCAGAAAGAGCAGGAGGAAGTGGCCCTGCAAGAACGGGCCGAGAGGTTAGCCCAGCAAGCGCAACAGGCGGCGGACCACCGTCTGACGGAGTCGCTGCTGAAGGCCGTCCAGGAACACCAAGAAGATTGGCAGAAGATGCAGCAGGTCAGCCAGAACGATGTAAAGGAGGAAGACGAGAAGGACACTCGTAAGTCCTCGGGCTCCAAAAAAGCATGACTGGAAGGTGGGACAAAAAGGAAGCATGCGGTGACAACAAAGATATATCATGTTGGTTTCGAAGTACCCTCTGGTAAACTAACATAGCTATTGAAAATGGCCATTTATAGTGAGTTTTCCCATTAACAATGGTGATTTTCCATACTTTTTTGTATGTTTACCAGAGGGTATTTGGTGCTTGCACCATACCCTCAAGTAATCAGACTTTGCCAGGTGATCATCAATCGGCTCGATCATTTTGAGCAACTTCGCCCCAATTTTGGGCTATCTGTAGGTTCTTCATATGAGATCAACAAATTTCGGGACTTGCCTTCCAGTCATTAGACTATAGCTAATGAAGATGGCCATTTATAGATGATTTGCACATGACATCAACAAAAAATGTGGTGATTTTTTCCGTAGTTAATGTTTGTTTTACTGGAGGGTAACCCTGTAAAAACATAGGGATAACACCCATCACTCATCACATTGCAATTCAACTCGTAGGAGCCGCGGTTGCTGCCTGTGCAAACGCGAACTCCTGGCAATCCGCCCTATGGCTCTTACAGGTGCAGATGGTGCAGCTGCTGGGAAGAGAGTCCTGCGGCAACCGCGAAAAAAAGGAAATGCAAAAAAAACAGTGAAATTGTAGTAAATTGCGGATTATCATTTCTTTTACGAGTTCCAAGAATAGGTGGTGATATTATCATAAAGATTGCCTTAAGATGAAATGAGAAGTAATGGTGATCAACATGAAATTTGCAGCTGGTGGCACTCCATATGGCTGGTGAAGAATTTTGCCCTCGTGTCAATGGACGGCTCAAAGACATGTAACAGTATTGAAGTCAATTCTTATTTTTTTTCTTTAGTCATATTATATGTATATAATTTATTATATATTAATATATTATTTCACCTGCTTTTCACGTAGGACTGCTCAAGCCATGGATTTTGTCTACCAGGCTACCAGGCAACGGGATGATTTTTTCAAGGAAACCCATGGGAAATTCCAACCATGATCTACCCATGGGGATTTCACCACTGCAGTGATGGTTGAATCAGATGAATCACCTGACATCGATTGACATTGATTGACCATTATTGACGTGAAAAATCGATTCCCCTTGTCCATCAGTTCAACAGTTTTTTTCCATATAAATAATCTTTTTCATCCGAAAACCAGGGAACAGCCCAATTTTCCTTAGTGAAACGTGCAAGTTTCTGCGCATTTGCCTGCCGTTTTCCAGACCTCGACGTTCCCCACCGACCTTGCGCTACGTGCCTGCTGCGCCGCGCTGCCCAGCGCGGCTTGCGCCGCGTGGCAAGTCGCGTGGGCGGCTTTGGGGCGGCTGGGGCGGAGGGGGCTGCAGGCCCGGCCAGGGAAAGGCCTGGCAATGGCTGGATTTTACCAATAAATAAGGGAACTTGACCACCAAGAAATGATTTCACAGGTAAAACTGTAGATTTAACCATCAAAGATGGGCACTGAGCCAGCAAAACTTGGGATCTAATCATATTTCACCATCAAAATAGGGACTGAACATGACTTAGCCACGCAAAATTAGTCTTCCAGGTGGTGGTTTGTCCAAATTGATGAAACATGTGACTTGAACACTATAATAGCTGAATAAAGCCAGTGGTCACATATATATATACACTCTCGTGAAATCCAACTTGTAATTAGAATTATTTAGAATATAACGGGATACAGTCTGGGATATAACACCAACAAAATAACATGCTGGATTGTCCACCGACAAGAAAGAGGAACTTCACCATCAACCATGGGGATTTATGCAGTGTAGTGTGGCTTTGTCGAAAAATGGAGTGTACTTCAAAATGGCAACTTCAATGAGGGAAAATGGAGATAAACATGAAATTAGTGTATATCTAGCAAACACCAAAAAAGATATAGTATTCACCACTAGCCGAGTAGGATTGTACTTATGATATAGTTGGATATTTTACAAACAGTATCTTTAGTAGTACATAGTTCAATGGGGATTATGGATAACATATAGGAAAACCTATGAAGCTATATCATATGAGCCATGAAAACTAGCCCTATTCTATCCCATTCATACTGGTTGGTTCACAGTTCTCCGAGTCCCTATTCCCCGATAAGCCAGGTATAGTAAAACTTCCTATAATAATAATCAATCAACATTTTCCCCGAATGCGTAGCAAGGGTTCCCGTTTCACTCTGGGGGTCTGGGGGTTGAGGGTGTGTTCGCTCGACGTTGCGTTTACGGTCGCAAGCGTCCGCAACCGTTCGCGCGAGGTCGCTATGGCCGTGCCTTTTCGAGTTCTGCGAAAAGGGTCACTGTTGTAGGTTCCAAACGGCGTGTGGCTTCGTTTCGCGTGGCAGGCGTGGCACCTTGGTGACATTCCTACCTGTTTGATAACGTGTCGAAAGTCGTTTAGTGTGGCAGGCGCAATACTTTGGCGTCGTTTTCTGAAGATGAGTTGCATTTTTCGTGTCAGGTGCAGCACTTTGGAGACCATCATCATCATCATCATCATCATCATCATCATCATCATCATGATGTCGCGTGGCAGGCGCAGCACTTTAGACGTGTCGTGTTGCGTGTTTTGTGCGAATCGCATTGTCAGGGCTGCGTGAAGTAATCTCTGTTCCTTGCATGTGGCCCCTTGTTCTTGAGCAAGTGCCCTCTTGGTTTTTTCTATTGATTTTTCATTAGGTATGTGTGTGTGTACAATGTACAGGTTTTAAGCAATTTGACAGTTGAACAGTGGAACAGTGCAACAGTGGAACAGTGAAACAGTGAGCGGCAGACTGCAAAGTGCCACGGATGAAGACCACCTGCCCAGAAAAAACAATTGAAAGAAACAGTTCAAAAATAAAACCAAAATTAGACCAAGCCAGCTGTCATGCCACAATTGCAGGTCACCCTGGCAGCGCAATAGTCTTTTGACAGCTGAAAATAAATGCAGCAGAATCCGTCAAACAAGCACCTACACAGCTGAGATTACAATGAACCGCGGACAGTGAACAGCCGAACAGAAGCCATCTGCTCTTTCAAAAATGAGCAAATTGCTGCTCAATATTCATGTCCGGCCACTATTCGACAAAGACCTATCCCACAGGGCCATGCAACATCCAAGCAGGCCCAAAAACATTTCACAACAGGGTGGCAAGCATTTCAATGAAGGCCTCGGAGTCCCAGTCTTTCATCAAAGCCTGCCTCGTCCATTTGCAAGTTGAACTGCCATGATGCCAGCCAGCCTCTCTAAATCTTGTGTGCTGTGCCTGCTGGTTGTCTCTATTCGCAGAACAGAATCACACCTGAAGCCTAGAAGTAACTGCCACACGAGGTTCATGAGAAAACTCGTAGGGAAGCGTCGGAAGCGTCGATTTTTGAAGCTACAAAGTATGAAAATTGGAGGAAGTCTCGCACGAAATGCTCGCTTTGAGGCTCCAACATGTCTCGTCTCGATGCTCTTGTTTTCTTTGGCGTCGCCATGTCTATGGGGGAAGCTGCAAAACCTATCCTGTTTCAAGGTGTCAAAGCAAGTTGTAATGTCGTTTTGCGTGGCAGGCGTCGCACTTCCTGACATTCTCACACGTGTCTGCAAACGTGTCGAAAGTCATTTTGTGGCACAGGCGCAATACTTTTGCGTCGTTTTCAGAAGATGAGGTGCATTTTTCAGAAGATAATACGCCATACTCCACACTCTGCACTTTACACTCCACCCTCTTCCGCATTCCACAGTCTACAGCGCACTGGTACGGTAACAAGGGAAAATGTACAAGACTGTTCAAATATCTTGTTTCACAAAAGTGTTCTATGTGACTGCATTCGGGTTCGTGGGCTGCATCTCGCCATGTTTCATGGCTCATTTGATGTGGTGTTATATATAACAAGCAGTATGTGTACTGTGGATGTCGAATACGGACATTTGGGAAATCCAATGAGGAGCTTTATAAATGGATGTGTTTGAACAACAAACCTAAGGATATTTTAAAACTGGACATGAACATGTTTTGGAATATACATATATATATATATAACCAACTAGCGTGGGATGACTGGGTGATGACTGGAAAATGTTTTGAAGTTTACTGGGGCTATTTCTTACTGGATATAGTGGCAATACTGGATATACAATAGGATGTAATGGAATATAACCGACTATAGCTAGCTATACCTAACTAAAGCGAACAAAAACTATAATATATAACGATGTATATATATAGAGAGAGAGAGAGGCAGAGAGAGATTGTCCAATTTGATATGATACTGGAGGGTTGACCCCCCAAATCATTGGTTTCAATGCTAGAATGGGTCTACCCTCTTTCTAAGAAGCCCTCATACGGGCTCGTCCAAACATCAGGTGCAACAACCCCCATCCCCATAATAATCGTTCAATCCTTAGGAGACAAGACCATTCCATCACCAGGTCGCTAGCGCCACCATGGAAGCAGTCAGTGGCGCAGTGACGCGTGGTGGTCAATGGCAAGTGGCAGCACAACTGAGTGAACTCGAGCGCCTTGGAAAGTTTCAGGACGTCAATGGGGGATTTTTTTTTGCACGATTTTTTTGGTGATTCTATGGGGAAGACATATGTATAACGGGGGAAACCCAATGCCATAAAACCTACAATTTGGAGATGATTGGAATCCCACCCATAAAAATGGTGGTTTGGGGGGATAGTTTATTTTTGGGTTTACCACATTATGTCGAGTAATAAGGGACATGTAATCGGGGATAGTTATGGTAATTTAATGATATTTCATAGGATTTTATTGGTATATCATTGGGTATAAGATATGTTTGGATACTGTAATACAGTTGGGTAAACGGGAAATATAATTGGGATCATACTGGTTTTTATCTATTGGATATGATTTCGACAATAGTTGGAAATACGTTACTACAATTGGAATATAGTTCGGTATAATTGGATTATTATTGGGCAAAAATTGGGATACAATTGAGATATATCTATCTGACTGACAAGAAAGGGTATATTTGATCGGACATGTATGTGATATGTAAACCAATAACATGCTATTTAGGCCTGTCCAAACATGGGGGATACCATGAGTTACTCCAAAGTAGGCATGTTAAATCATTTTCATGAGAAAAAGTGATGACAAATCACGATAACTGTGTGGTTGCTTGATTGTTTTCAATGTTGAACGGTTTTTGAAAATCAGACGCGGATTAGAAAGATGATGGTTAATGAAACAACGATTGATGGGGATATCAATTTATCACTCCTGGAATGATGGGAAGCCCAGAAACTTGATGGGAACCCCCAACTGCCATCGTCGGGATGATGATCAACAAATGAAATATCGCGGGGGTCAGCTACTTTCGGGTAATTTGGGACAAGAAAATGGTCCATTGCTATGTGTTTTACCTATGAAACATGGTGATGTTTCATGAGCTACCCTCCAATAAACTAACATGGCTATTGAAAATGGCCCATTTATAGTTGCTTTACCACCACTAAAAGTGATGATTTTCCATAGTTATGTTAGTTCAACAGAGGGTATGTCAAATTACCAGGCGCTAACGCATAGAATGATGAATGACATGAAAGGAATTTGATGGTGCAACTATGACGGCTATGACTCCATTGTTTGCATATCCCAAGAATGGATGGTCGGAGGTTTCAAATCCTAAAATGTGACCAGAGTGTGGACCTTCCTGGCAAGCCCATAGAACATCATAGAACTATGTATACATCTGCCATAAACCATACTTGTGGCCCGTTATAGCCAACCTTTTCCAGGTTGGCCAACATTGCATTTCTTCAATTCATCTCCATTTCAGTTCATTGAGGTGCCATATGGCAATATTTTATCGTGAAGATTCCCGTATGTGGACCTTATTATGTATATAGACCTTAGATAGTATATAGACCTTAGATAGTATGGTAGGTATCTCCAATTTATAATATCAGTAATATATCAGTGTATATATATACAGCATAATATATATATATATACAGTATAATGTATGTATATATATATATATGTATATATATACATACACCTGAATTTTCCACCGGTGAAAGTTTGTTTGAAGATACATTATCCCGAAATCGGGTGGTTCATCATTTTTTGCCCATTACATTTGCATACCATTTGCCATTTACTCTGTTTTCGGGATAATATCGTCCTCTTTCTGCGCAAAACCGTATCCACTATTAATTGATCTTTTTTGTTTGATCGTAAATCAGCATTCTGGCTGGATTAAACACCACATGTTGGCTGATTGGATCGTCAAATTTCTGAAATTTGTGGGTTAAAATACTTTATTCTATCGTCATGTTTCATCATTTTGCCCGATGAGTCGCTATGCATCTTTCATGTTTATGTTTTGTGTTTTCCACTAGTTTCCCAGCATTTTCCTAGCATTTTCCCGGAATTTTGTATGGCCCAACGCTGAGTTTCTCCTCGTTGGAAGCGCAGCCTGTGGCGTTGTGGCCACAGATGTCGCAGTTGGCGGCCGATGACGCCGTGGAGAAATTGCAGGAGCCGTGCCATTTCAAATAGGGGGGGAAAATGAGGATGGGCCAACTACCAACAATTTGGGATTAATGATGGTGATGTTTGTAGCGATATTTATCCCAAGTTCTAGTGATTGATGATGATGACTATTAATCACTATTAATCACTACAATATCTATACTTGATTAATAGTTGATGTCATATATCTATTGTAGTGATTGATGTTGACTTACATGGGATATAGTTTATGGCAGGGTTATTGTACTAATCATGGGACTTTGTATGTTTTTTTGGTTTAAATATAGTTACCCATTGTGTATGGTAGATATACTATTGTGTGTATTATATATATGTATGTAATTTATTGTGTTATTGTGTTATATATATATATATTTGTATACATGGTTGATTGATGACAGGTAAGTTGGCTTAGAACTCTTAAAACACTGAGAGGCACCACCTTGCCAGGAAGTGTTTGGATCCACAAGGTCTGGTTTATGGTAGATATGTCGTTATGCTATATCTGTATTGTTTGATGGTGACTTAACCAGCCAAAATGGTGATTTAGTGAATATATAGCCATCAAAAGCAGAGGTTAAACAACTTCAATGGTAATGCAACTAGCACACAAACTGCACAAAAACTGCAACCAGCCAACATTGTGATATGTGGCTATGAAAAAGATGCTCCCCCAGGTGTATTTGTTGATGTTACCCCATCTAATTACAGATAAGTCTACCACAAACCATGCTTATTGCAATGATTGGACCAACGTATCTATCATTTGGGATATGTTTATTGGGAGTTTATAACATACCATATGGGATTATCACCAAAACATACCATATGTTACCCTCTGGTAATTTAACATAGCTATGGAAAATAGCCATTGAAATACAGTAGTTGATTTACCCAACTATAAAATGGTGATTTTCCATAGTTTTTGGTATGTTTACCAGAGGGATCCCCACATTGTACCGATGCACACAGAAACTTCCCCGTGATCACCAGGATGGAGCTGCCGCCTTGCGCCGGCGATCAAAAAACGCAGAACGGGGGAACTGGGAACGTTCTGAGAAGATTTACCTGGCAAACATAGCGAAAATGGCTCATTTATAGTTGATTTACCTATCAAAAATGGTGATTTTCCATAGCTATGTTTAAGTACCAGAGGATATGATGGCGTTTGCTTGTGGAATCGTGAATAGTGATGGATATAAGATATACAGATACCTTGAACACGAGTGGACACGACGTTCATTCAGGTTTGAGAATTGAGAAAAAACATTGATATTCCTTCAAAGGGATTTGCTCACCTAGAGAGTGTGGGATGAGAAACAATGAGAAACAATAAAGGTGGGAACTTGTCAAAAGCATTTTGGAATCGATTTATCGCTTCCCATGATACTTTGGAAAAATTCCAAACGTATTTTTTGACGCTACACACTCCGACCAAAACAGCCATCACTTTTGCGACATGTTGGATGACCTACCATAGATCTGGGTAAATAAATCATCACGACCGAAGCCTGTTCTCGCGAAAACTATAATCATAGTAAGGGGAATCATCCCCTTTTATGGCCTTAAACAATTCAGGTCAGTGAAATATTATAATTTACCCAGATGGTTGATAATTATTGTACCCTCCAGTAAACTAACATAGACCCTGCCAGAGAGGGTCAGTGAAATATTATAATTTACCCAGATACATATTGATTTTCAATACTGATACACTTCCCCAGCCAGGGCCCCAGCTCTGTGAGCGACGTCGCCCGTGTCGACCGTGTCGGACCCTACGAAGATTCCTTGAGGCGCCGAAAACGTCACTGTAGTCCTTGGTGAATCCGTGGACGATGGGAAAAAGACATCCATGGAATGGGATAAACCATTTTTTGTTGGTTAATAGTGTTTAAAATGTCACCATCATCAATCACTACAATAGATATATGACATCAACTATCAATCAACTATTAATATTGTAGCGATTGGGAAACATAAGTGTACAATTCTAGCTGGTTTATATTTGGTAAAGTGTTAAGCAGTGACATTTGGCATGTTTATAAACCATTGATATTTATAGTTATCATCAATCACTAGGATTTGGGATTAATATCTTAACAATGGTTAAGCATTCGTATTTGGATTAACTGGGATAAATGGGATAACATCCATGGTTATATTTGGTGAACCATTTGTTGGTGATTTTGGTTATAAATTTAACCACCAAACACTGGTTATCCAAAAAAACAACCATGGAATGGTTAACATTATATTTGGTGAACCATTGTTTGTTGATTTTTTTTGATAGAATCCCATCACCCTAATATTAAACACCCCAATTGCATGGTGCCAATGGAATGTGGAAATTCCCTACATCCACCATGGTTTCTAAAGGGGGTGTAGGGGGATGGGATTATTTGGTAAACATGATTGTACAATTCTAGCTGGTTTATATTTGGTAGAGTCTTAAGCATGTGTTACGCATTTATATTTGGCATGTTTATGTACACTTTTTACATTGTTAACCATTTACAGCTGGTAAACTCTAGTTGATTTGGGAAACCAAACCAAAGGATTGATAAGTGAGCTGGTAACCAAACCAATGGATTGATCTGGGTGACATAACGACCTCACGTCACGACCGAACCCTGAAATCATGGTGAATGTAAGGGGAATGATCCCAATACAGCAATATTTCTGGTTAGTTAATTGTTGTAATTTACCTAGATGTATATATATATATACATATACACACATATATATATAGACGTAATATATATATAATATTAATTACATATGTATGTATATACATATATATATATATTACGTATATATTACGTGTATATTATTTAAATATATGTATATATATATGTATGTATATGTATGTATATATATATATATATGTATATAGATATGTGTGTGTGTGTTTGTGTATGTGTGTGTGTCTGTATATATACACCCTTGGGCAATGTGGACAACCCAAGGTATCCTAGGGAAATGATTTACTTTTATGTTTGGGATATACCATGTGGAGCCCCGGTCCGAAAATGATCCATTTACAAATGGTGGGATTTCCATATCGGACTGTTAGTTTCCAAGAGGTTTTTCATGTTGAATGCCATGTTTTTTATTCCATGGATATGTTTTAAAACTCCATTTTATCCAATTTTCTCCGGGGAAAAAAAGGCAAGTACCCTCCGGTAAACTAACATAACCATGGAAAATCACAATTTTTGATGGATAAATCCACTATAAATGGCCATTTTCAATAGTTTTTTGTATGTTTACCAGAGGGTGGAAAACAAATGAATGATTTTAAACAATTTTTTGTCGGCGAATTGTGACAGGAAACATGCTAGGCCAAGGGATGATTGCGGCACCGTCATTTGGGTCTTGAGAAAAGGTGACGCAAAATCGAAGATTGCAAAATTACTAAGCTGATAATATATTGGCCTATTAAAATGAGATCAATCCTATATTTTTTGTTATATTTTAATAGTCACTTCTGAAAGTTGCCCAGTTTACTAGACTGATTGCTGCTTTGATTTTTTCCCTGCTCCTTGGACGAGAACTCGCCTCGGAAAACTTTCCAGCAAGGTTCAGCCACCAAACCATTCACCAATGGTCCATTGATAGCCACTGTCTGGAACTTTACCCATTTTCTGCACCATCATTGAAATATAATTAGAATATAGTATTATATACAGACGCAATATATTGAAACCCTCTGGTAAACTAACATAGCCATGGAAAATGGCCCAGTTCGCTATGTAGCATGGTGGATTTTCCAGTTCGCTAATTTGACATGCCACCAGATGGTAAATTTCCCATTAATTAACATAATTAGCCATCAATAACCACCATTAATCACCTGTTACGTTAACACTAATAGTGAATTAATAATGGGAAATTTTCGACACTAATAGTGATTAATAACTATGGTAAATGTTCCCATTAATCACCTTTTAAGTGTTACAATCCCATGATATCCCCCATGGGCGCCAGGCATTTGGGCGTGAAGCGACAGCCGAGACCTGGGAATTACCGTTGCTGAGAGAAATGAATTTCTCGCCGGCGCCAGAAGGAAGGAAATGGTGGCCATGTTCAGCCATTAAGAAAAAACATAAAAGGATAGAAAAGTGAAATCCTACATGGGTATGGATCAATACCTATTAATTATTAATACCATTTTTAATGGGATGAACATCCATTTACCAGCTATTTTGATGTTCACCAGGGGTACAAGGTTTTGACACACTGCCACATAGATTTTTGAAGAAATCCCAATCTCAACATGTTGATGATTTGATTGAAACTTGTTTGCGTTTGCTTGGGGAGTGCGATAACATGACGACCGTGCCAGTAAGTCAGCAATTTGGACCCTGCCAGGGGAGGCTAATGTTCAGCCACAAATGGAATCAATGGCGGCTGGATACATTGAACACCCTTTGGTTACTAACGTAGCTATGGATCAAAGTACATCCTCCATAAATATTGTATTTTCTATAGCTTTATGTTAAATAACCATTGGGTACCAATTCGTAGGTCTTTCAGGAAAGTCAAACTTACCCATGTCTGCAGCAGTGGATGAAACCAAGTTTGTGCTGCAAAGAAACAATGAGTCGACAGGAACTTCGACACCTCTGGACCAGATGTTTTTTTCACGGTAGAACTGTCTGGGTTTGCCCAAGTAGAACCTGTTGATTGCTTCATGAGAAATCCACCCTTGGGGGAATCTATTGAAAACGACTGGGTTGTTTTTGGGATGGTCTTAGGCAAATCTAAGGCCGCCATGTTGTGAGACACCCGCCATGTTGTGAGACACCAATTTCTGGGTGTCTGACCGCAAGAAGTGTACATAGCAGGCCACTTAAAAAGACGTGGCGTCTCAGATTCAGCTGCGTCAACATCGGTGGCGGATCCAAAAATTTAGCTGGACATATCCACTATGAGTCCACTTACACAACGGGGCATGAAAGGGGCCCCTTCTTGTAACCCTTGTATATTTAGTTGCTGGAAAAGAG